TTGGCCTTTGACCCCGAGGGAGGTGGGAGCCATGGAGGCTGTAGGCAGAGGGGAGAGAGGTCTGATTTTAGGTGTTCACACGTGCCCTCTGGCCACTGTAAGGGAACAAACAGCTTGTGGGTGGGTGTGGGAGCACTTAGGGCTCTGAGAAGTGGTGGCAGCTGGTGAGCCTGTTCTGTGCCTTGGGCTGTGGTCCTATCAAGCTCTCTAACTTGTGACACTGGCAGTCTGGCAGAATTCAGTCTGGCCTCATAGCCTGAGCCCCACATGATGGCAACCCCAGGCCAGGTCTCCTTTCTTTATTGGAACTTGGCAAAATACCTCTTCTCTCCATCACCCCCTTTATTTACAAAGGGGAACCCAGCTCCTGGCAGAGGAGGGGTCCCCACCCCACCCTGAGCTGCTGGGCAGGAATGTGGCTCAGCCCCTCCATTGGTGGAGCCCTGGACTCCCAGTCTGCTCAGCCCTCTCAGGGCCGGAGATCAGGAGTCAACCTGCCCACCAGCTGCAGGCAGGGAGAAGGGCCGTGGAGTGGGGAGCCGCAGCTCTAGATGGGGTGGTCTGAGGTCTGAGACCATGAGCCCCATCACCTATGCTCCAACCCCACCCCTGGCCCTGGCTGCTGTAGGCAAAGAAAGCGACCAAGAAGTTGCAACCGCAAAGCACAGACCCCCCGAGGAAACCCAGCCAGAAGGAGAAGAGAGGGCGGCCTGAGGAGAAGCCCAGAGGCAGGTCAGCTCCACAGCCCCCAGCCTCACCCCAGCCTGGACCCCGTGCTTCTCCGCCTCCCAGGAGGTCTCCTCCCCCATCGAGGCATGGCTTTGGAATTTAGCCCTGGAGCCAAATCCACTTGAGGGTTCAAGTTGCGGGGGAGCCAGGGCTCCAGGATTGTGGTCCTAGGTATCCCTGGGTGATACTTGGGGGCAGTGGTGGCTGTCGTGACTGGAGGAGCTCCTGGCATGGAGCAGGTGAAGGCCAGGGATGCTGCTCAGCATCCTGCAGTGCCCAGGATGCCTCCCCCAGAGAACGACACGGCCAGTGTCCACAGTGCCAAGGGCAGCAGCCGAGCCCCAGCCTGGTAGTTGTGGTTCTGAGACCCACTGAGGGAGGGACGTGGAGCCCATCCCTGGCCCACGTTGTAAATGGAATTCCAGCCACTGGTGAACAGACAGCCCTGGAGAACCGGCCAGCGTGACCCTCTGACTGCTGTGCCGTGGAGTGTGATGTGCGACTTACTTGCTTTTTTTCCTTGGTACTGGGATGAACCCAAGGCACTCTACCGCTGAGCCAAGCCCCAGTCCTTTTTGGGTTTTTAAAATTTTAGAAATTAAAAAAAATTTTTTTAAGTTATACATGGGCACAATATCTTTATTTTGTTTATTTATTTTTATGTGGTGCTGAGGATTGAACCCAGGGTCTCACACGTGCAAGGCGAGCACTCTACCACTGAGCCTCAACCCCAGCCCCTTGTCTTTTATTTTGACACAGGGTCTTGCTGAGTTATTGAGGCTGGCCTCAAAATTATGATCTTCCTGCCCCAGCCTCCCGAGTCACTGGGATGACAAGCGTGCTCGCTTTCGTTCGAATATCAAACTCAAGTGCTTTCTGTTGCTGCCAGCCCTCTGCCACAGGGGTAGAGGAGGAGTTCTAGCACTCCGCTTGGTTCACAGAGCCCGCATAGAGGGGGCTGGGTCTTGGTCTGCTTGAAGCCTGTAGCTGACTTGGTCCTGTCCTGGAGCTAGATAGTGACAAGCTCTGACCTGTCCTTGAACCCAGCCCCTGCGGCCTCCTAAAGGTTTCCTTCTGCCCTTTGGGTGGGTCCACCCCCAGGCCCTGGTTCTTGGGTGGGAGGACTACATGGTTTGCTGGGTTCCGTATGATGGGGTGCCTCTCCACAGGTCCATGAAGGTAGAACGAACCCGAAAGCGGTCCGAAGGGTTCCAGTTAGACCGGAAGGTGGAGAAGAAGAAAGGTGAGGAGCCAGCAGCCTGGGCTTCGCAGCCCGAGTCTGCTGGGGATGGGAGCAAGTGCATGAGGTGGGGTTCTCTGGTCCGAGAGGGCGCTAGGCAGGTCCTCAGCACCCCTGAGGTGGGGGCTGGAGCGTGTGCAGGGTGGGCTTAGCTGCCCCCTGCCCTCTTCTCCCCCTACCCTGGCTCCTCTGAGGGTCTTGAGGCATTGCCCCAGCTGGCCTGGAGGCCCGCTCAGTCCTGCCACTCGCTGTCTTTCCTGGCCCTAGAACCTTCTGTGGAGGAGAAACTCCAGAAACTGCACAGTGAGATCAAGTTTGCCCTCAAGGTTGACAACCCGGTAAGACATTCTTGGGGCCATGGTATCATAGCACAGCCACTTCCCTGAGCCGTGTAGTCCCCTCTGCCACTTGCATCCAGGGCTTCCTTAGAATTCTTGGGAAGCTTGGGCAAATCCAGGGCCCCACTGGTGGAGTCCCTCATGGGATGGCCTTGCCAAGGGCAGTGCCTAGCTTCGCCAGCAGGGGCGCCTCAGGAGGATCCCCAACAGTGGGATTCTGGGTTATCCCTGCCTGTCCTGAGTCCCTGCCAGTGGCACAGTAAGTGGCACTGCTCTGCAGGATGCAGCCTTCCCTGCAGAGAGGCCAGGATGTCTCTTGCCCAGAGCTGCCATTTTTTACTCCCCATCCGACAGGACGTGAAGAGGTGTCTTAATGCACTGGAAGAACTAGGGACCCTGCAGGTGACCTCTCAGATCCTGCAGAAGAACACAGATGTGGTGGCCACATTGAAGAAGGTATGGTGGGACTAGAGATGGGCCTGCAGTGGGCCAGGCACAGTCAGGAATGCCTGGGCTGGGGTTCCTGGAGGGCTGGTGGCTGTGGGCACCCCATGGAGGGTGGCAACCTCAACTGGAGAGGAGGGTCTGGGGTGGGCAAGGCCAGCTGCCTTCAATAAGTGGGGCCTCCTGGTGGCCAGATTCGCCGATATAAGGCCAACAAGGATGTGATGGAGAAGGCGGCAGAAGTCTATACTCGGCTCAAGTCACGGGTCCTGGGACCAAAGATTGAGGCGATCCAGAAAGCGAACAAAACTGGAACAGAGAAGGAGAAGGCCGAGGCAGAGAAGGCTGAGGAGAAGCTGGCTGGGGAAGAGGCCCCCAAGGAGAAGGTGGAGGAGGAGCCCAGCACCGGTGAGGGGTGGGATGGGCCTCTGAGCCTTGGTCTCCTGGCCAGAGGAGCAGTGCTTGCAGGATATTTTGGGTGGGAACCCAGCTCTGCTCTCTTCCCCAGACTGTCTGGAGTGGGTGTTCCTGTTGGTAGCATCTGCAGACCTGGTTCCATCCCGGCATAGTTGGCAAAGGGTGTTCTGGCTCTGCTGAGTGCCAGACAGAGTGCAGGTGGCCTTGAGGCCTTGACAGTGCCTGCTCGTGATAGCAGGTGCCTGTGCTGCTTGTGGGCCCAGAGCCCAGATGCCTGGGGGCCACACATGCCCCTGGGATCCAAGCGTGTGTGAGGCCAGGAGCTGGGAGTTCCCAGAAAGGCAGCTGTGGCAGTGTGGGTGCGAGGCCTCAGCCTAGCTTGCTGGGCCCCAGGTGGCTGAGGAGGCTAGAGACATTGAGAGCACAGAGGGATTCGTAGGGTGGCCAGGGTCAGGTGGTCCCAATGTAGGTGCTCAGGTCAGCCCTTCATACCAGTGGCTTAGCTGAAGGCCAGTCAGGACAGCCCTGAGGCTGCTCTTTATTTATATGTCAGGCTGAGATGTGCTCTTCCCTGTTGTCACTTGCGGCCCCCCTCTCTTAAGACTGGTGCCCTGTGGGCGTGGAGCTGGCTGTAGTAGTGACTCACCCAGCTAGCACCTCGTGGGTGACCCTTTGAGGAGGGTCGACTGTCCTTCACCGTCCTTCAGCATATTGACTCAAAGCTGACTCACTCTGGACAGAAAGGGTAAGGGAATCCCAGACCTAGTCCAGCAGTGTGCCATGGCCCTCTGTCCTCCAGGTCTCTCAGCGCCTGTGAATGGTGAGGCCATGTCCCAGAAAGGGGAGAATGTGGAGGACAAGGAGCAGGAGGACGGGCAGGACTCTGAGGAGGGCCTGAGACGTGGCTCCTCTGAAGATCTGCACAACAAGTGAGTGTCACCTGCAAGAGGGGAGCCTTTGTGGGAGGAGGCAATGGGCAGTGTACCCCACTATCTTATCACTGGTTCTTGATGGACCTGGTCTTGCTGGGAAGAGTCCCAGGGATGTTCCCTCCACTTTGGTCCCCTGTCACAAATTTGCAGCTAGCCTTTGGTCCACCTGGCTGGCACTGGCCAACAGTGTCCCCCCTCGGGCAGCTCCAGGGCTTTGAGCTGCCTGGGCCAGGCGTCCTGGGCAGGTGCTATTTTGCCGACCCCGTGGGACAGGCAGGCACAGTTTGTGAACACCAGTCCCCACCTGCAGCCAGGGCTGAGGCCACGGGCTGTGTCTGGCAGGTGAGGCTGGTTAGTTCAGTGCCCACTCACCCAGCCCTGCTCTCTGCTGGCCCATCCGCCTCCCACGCGGCACGTCCACAGCAGGTGGGCGCTGTGCTCCTGGTGCTCACAGTTGCCTAGCAGTAGGCGGGGCAGGAGAGGAGAGCAAGGCAGTGCCCGAGAACCTGGGGCCAGGACCAGCTCTTCCTCAGGACTGGCCCTGCCTGACAGCTCCAGAGGTAGGGACAGGGCCAGTGCAGCCTCACGTGCCACCTTTGCTGTGCCCCACCAGCAGCCTACGGGAGGGCCCCGATCTGGACAGGCCTGGGAGCGAGGAGCAGGAGCACGAGAGGGCGCAGCTGGACTCGGAGTCCCTGGACGAGGAGAGCTGAGCCCGGCAGCCCTGGCCTTGGCCCAGCTCAGCCACAGTAGAGTCCTAGGCCTGCCCCGTCTCTTTCCCAGCCTCCCATGAGAGCAGAGAACTTTTGGGGAAACGCTGTGCTGTTTGTATTTGTCTCCTTGGATTTTTTTCTGCCTAATTTCTGTGATTTCTGACCGACATGAAATGACTATAAAGGGTTTTTTAATGAAAAAAGATTGCTTTTATTGACTTGGTTTTCCAGCATCACTGGTGGGTGAAGCGGAGCCCAGGGCCAGGGAGCAGTTTGCAGCTGTCAGAGGCCCTTAGGGGACAGAGGGTCAAGCTACTGGGCCACCATGAGTAGTGAGAGTGACTGTCCTCGCAGTACCTCAGGCCCCGTGGTGCTAGTGGCAAAGGAGGCTGGACGGAGCAGGGCCTCCATGAGAGGAGGAGAAACGAGGCTCGGAACTTCACAGCTCAGACAGAGGCTGCGGGGTGGCTCTTCCTGCCTTTGGCAGCCTGGTGCGGGCAGGCCAAGCAAGAACAGAGGTGGCTCAGAGGGCAGAGTGCAGAGTACACCTTCCCTGAATGTCCCAGCTTATGTGACCTGACTCTAGTGTGTCTGTTGCCCCTAGGCTGTAGGAGGCTTCAGCGCCCCCAGGCATTTGGGCCTATAGGGGTGCTGCAGTTGTCTCCTCTACTGAGCTTTTACCCCGCGTGAGCCTTGCTGTGGGCCTCCCCGCTCGTGCCAACTGCATTGCCAGCTCCTGTGAGCTTGGCATGTGGCCTTCCTCACGGGTGCAAGAGGGTGACCCCACCTCATGACTGCTATATGGATTTAGAGAGGACACCTGTTACTTGGTAGTTCTTTCAACAGTGGCTTCCCGTGTTTGTCCCCTGCCTGTGATGACCAAGTTCCCCTATCCAGATGGGAAGTAGGTGTGGTCTCCAGGGAGGAACTCCTGAGCCTCAGACCCAGGTTTGGTTTGGATAGACCTGATGTCCTGGCCCCGCCATCTAGTGACTGCATGTGGCACAGTCAGAAGGAGCCTTGGCAGAGCTGGCTGGGCACTCAAGAGTAGCCCTGTCATCTGAGGCACAGCTTCTCCAGCTTAGAGCTAAGCTGATGTGACCTGGCCCTGCACTACTCCAGGCATCCTCGGTGACCCTTGGGCGAAGCAGCTCACCCATCCTGCACCTGCTGGAGCTCAAAGGACCCGGGTCCTTTTCAGAGAAGATGGTGCTTAAAAAAGAGATGCAAGTTTCGATGTAGCATGGTCATCACTGTGCTACAGGGTTCTGGGAAGGGCGGCTGAGCAGGTCTCTCTCTGGTCGCTGGCTTTCCATGAGGCAGCTGCTCCCCGCTGTAGCAGTGAGTGGGGCCCAGCAGCAAGGAAGCTCCTGGCTCATGGACACCCTGAGTGTCCCCATCTCTGGGCACTCGGGGCAAGGAGAGGAGAGGGTTAGAACTGGAAAGCGGGCTGGTTGGTCACCTGTCAGTTTTTCTGATCGATGCAGCTCCAATGTCCTCATCCCCCTCTCAGGGTCCCCCTGAAGATCAAGGGGAGTATGGCTAGGGAAGAAGGGGTCTCCATAGTTATCACCCAGGCAGGCCTTGGCCTAACCCAGATCTCAAAGCATGCTGAGCAGGCTCTGTCAGGCTCCGTCCCTTCTGCTCACACTTTTGCTTGGCTGCCTCAGCCCTGCCTCCTCAAGGACCAGAGGACTGTGGGTAGGACTGTGGGTAAGTGGCCAGAGACAGGAAGTAGCTTGGTTCGTCACTTCCCTCACCCAACAGCCAAGCTAGTGCAGAGCTGTGGAGGTGACTCTGCTGGCTGGCAGCAGCTTTGTCCTCAGGAAGCCCTTTCTCAGCCTCACTGGGTGCTAGCAGAGGTGGTGAGTGTCTGCCTCAGGGTGGCCATGGTATTCTAACACAATTCTGCAACAAGGGAGCAAGGTTCTCAAGACACCTTACGTATGAGGTATGGGGGTGCACCTGTCGCCTAGGTAGGAGGCTGAGGCAGGAAGATCTTAAGTTCAAGGCCAGCCAGGACAACTTAGCAAGACCCTATCTCAAAATAAAAGGACTGTGAGCGGAGCTTAGCGGTGGGGCACTTCTCTGGCATGTGGGAGGTCTTGGGTTCCATACCTAGTACTGGGTTGGGGGACCATGTGGGTCGGGTATGGTGGCCACACCTGTAATCCCAGCAGCTCAGGAGGCTGAGGCAGGAGGATCACAAGTTCAAAGCCAGCGCCAGCCTCTGCAAGTTAATGAGGCCCTAAGGAACTCAGTGAGACCCTATCTCTAAATAAAATATAAAAAAGAGGCTGGGGATGTGGCTCAGTGGTTAAGTGTCCCTTGGTTCAATGGTTCAATCCCTGGTACCAAATGAGAAAAAAAGACAGTGAGGTTGCTCACGGCTTTGGGATTGCTTTCAGAGCCAGGTGGTCGTGGGAGCCAACCGTAAGACGATAGCCGTGGAGCCACATTGAGGGCCTAGAAGAGCCCCCTAAAGATAAGGAGTCTGCAGTGGGGCAAGTGGAGCGCACCTTACACTGGGCGCGTTTCCATTCTCCTAATTGACTTGCTCACTGAAGGGCTTCAGGCGGGGCCCTGGTCAGCGGTCTAAGCGAGCCCAGCTCCTAGGTCAGGAGAGGGGAGAAAGGAGTGGGGACACAGGCCTAGGCCCTGGAGCATGGTGGCTGAACCCAGACAGTCACGTGCCCTATGGCTCCTGTGTCTGCCAGCTCTAGCCTGCAGGGCCCAGGGCTCTGAGGGACCAGAGCTGGATTTGGGGCCAGGAGGAGGCTCTGAGTGTGGCTCCCTGGGCAGTGCAAGCAGTAGGAGACGCCTGCGCTCTGGTCTGCAGATGCCTATAGCTGCCCACCAGGGGCCAAGGCGAAGGGCCCCACCAGCCAGCCAAGCGGGGGGCTGTGCTGCAGGCCATCCAGCACCTGGTCCAGCCCCTGCCATGCCTGGCTCACTCCTGCTCGGCTCTGGGCCAGGCGCTCGGCTGGCAGCTCCCCAACGGACCCAGCTGAGGACACGATGCCGTAGAGCTCACAGAGGCTGTGCCGCACCTGCCCGACCTGCTGTTGGAGCCCGGCCGGCAGGCCCTGGAGGCTGGAGGCCAGACCACTGGAGGCTGTGTGCAGCTGCCTGAGGAGGGTGCACACCCTGGACAGAGCTGCTGTGTCCTGCGCCTGTGGGAGGAAGGAGCACGGTGAGTGGACCCAGGGCCAGGCTGGGGGGGGTCCACCCAGTACCAGACACACCTCTTGGGGACCCAGATCTTCTGCTCTGGCACTCGATCCCCGGTCCAGGCACAGCTGTCCTTGTGGAGTCTTCATGGCCTTCTCAATCTGGAAAGAGACGTGCTGGGGACATGATGGTGCCTTGGCCGGGACTGGGGACGTTCATAGGGTGCTGGCCTTAGAGTCTCACAACCAGACCTTCCCCATGGCCTGGCAGGAAGGCCATGAGCAGTGGGCTCCTCTGTGTTGAGGACACAGTCCCATCCCCTGAGGTGCTCAGGTGGACTGCCAGTGGGATCATGGCACGCTCAGCCCAGGACCCTACATGGCTTCCCATCGTTGTTCGGGTAAAACCCAAGTCCTCACTGGGCCCGTGTGGTCTAGCCTCAGGGACATCTATGGCCTTATCCCCACCAACACCCCATCATTCTCTCTGCAGGGGTAACTCAGGTTCCTATCTGTCCCTTGATCCCTCCCAGCATGCTCTGGCCTCAGGGCCTTGACACGTGCTGCCCACTCAGCCCTGGCATACTCCTCCAGGCTGCCTCTTGAGTGAGCCCTCCCTGCCCACTGCGGGAAGTGGCTCTGTCCCTTCCTGTCTCTAACTGTCCATCACTGTCCTTCACTGGGTGTTTCTTACCTCACCGTTGGTCACTGTGTCCCCAGCACATACACCCGGCCCTCCCAGGACCCGTCGTCCTGTCCCGCACAGGGCCTTCCCTCCAGCCTTCCCTGCAGTGAGACTGAGCCTGCTGCTCCTGCAGAAGCCTCCAGGGCCAAAGCCAGTCTCAGGGTTTAGTCCCCAGTTGCCAAGCACCCTGCTTTCCTCCTGTCGTCACCAGGGCCTTCCGTCCTCACCCACACACCTTTGGGTGCTCCACGTTTGCAGTACACCCCGAGCCCAGCTGCTCCAGCTGTACCAGCCTGTGGCGCCCCTCCCAGCTTCCCACTGCACCACCGTGCCCAGCTCCTGGCACGTGCCCACCCAGGTTGCTGTCCTGCTGTCTCTGTCCTCTCCAGGCTTTCACACTGCCACCTTGTTGGCCAGAACATGCCTCAGAGGGACACCCCGCCACCTGCTCTCTGCACAGCACGGCCTGGGCCTAGTGCTGAGGCCCCATTGGATGCCTTGCCACAGGGGCATTTGAGGGGTCTGGGGGCAAGGGGCCCAGGAGGGGGAGTCTCTTACCACCTGGAAGGAGTCCTGGAGCTGAGCCAGCGTGTCCCTGGCTTGGAACTGGTTGTGCTGCAGGTGGCTCAAGGCATGTTCAAAAGCCCGCTGGCGGAGGCCCGGGGCCAGGTCACTGAGGCGGACAAAGTAGCTTCCCTGGTCGGCCGAGAGCACCCGGGGCCCCGGCCTAGAGGCCGCCAGCTGAGCTGGAGGGGAAGAAGCCTTCAGCCCAGACCGCCCTGCAGGGTGGCTGGGCGCCCGGGACAGGGGGACAGCCCTCCCGTGGCCCTACTCACCTTGCTCCTCGGAGCTCATGGGGTGGAAGATCTCCCCCAGCCCCTCCAGCTCGTCTCGGAGCGTGGCGAAGCCAGTGGTTCCTTGGCACACAGCCGAGGCCCTCTGCTGCCCCGCCGCCGCCTTGCTCAGGGCCCCGTGGGTGAGGTCCGTGACATCAGGCACCAGGGCCGTGGTGACACCTGTGGCTTCCCCAGCAGGCTCCCAGCCAGCTCCAGGGGGATCTGGGAGGTTGAAGACCCTGGAGGACAGGGCCTCTGTGGGGGTCAGAGCGGTCTGCTGGCCAACTGGGTCTGTAGCACTGTAGCTAACAGGTCCACCCCAGCCCTCGGCCTGGGCCTCAGGACACCAGCTTCGGCTACTGCTGAGACTGGTGTGGGCAGCACCCGAGGCCGCATTCCCTGCCCTGGCCAGCCCAGCAAGACCAGCTTCCGCAGTGCTGGTCAGTGCAGTGGTGCTGGGGTCCAGGGCCCCCTGCATGGCTCCTTGGGCCAGGCTGACCACATGGGTGACCTCACCATAGACGGTGTCGTTGGTGCCGGGCAGCGTGGATTTGGCGAAGCTCATGCCAGCCTCAACAGTGCCTTTGGCCACATTGGCTGCTCCTGTGAGCCCGGTGGACACAGTGTCCTTCGCACCCAGGACCACAGATTTCGTGGAGTCCAGGCCCCCCTGAACAGCTCCTTTGGCCACATCCATCGCCCCCATCACCCCACTGCAGACAGTGTCCTTGGTGCCCATCAGCACGTTCTTGGTGGTGTCCAGTCCAGTCTGGACAGTTCCTTTGGCCACATTCACTGCCCCAGTGACCCCAGTGGACACTGCGTCTTTGGTGCCAGTCAGCACGGTCTTGCTGGTGTCCAGGCCCCCTTGGACTACCCCTTTGGCCACAGTCACAGCCCCCGTCACCCCGCTACATAGAGTGTCCTTGGTGCCCGTCAGCACAGTCTTGCTGGTGTCCATGCCGGTCTGGACAGTTCTTTTGGCCACATTCACTGCCCCGGTGAGTCCAGATGTCACTGTATTTTTGGTGCCTGTGAGGACAGCTTTTGACGTGTCCAGGCCCCCCTGGACAGCTCCTTTGGCCACATTCACTGCCCCCATGAGCCCAGTGGACACTGTGTCCTTGGTGCCAGTCAGCACGGTCTTGCTGGTGTCCAGTCCAGTCTGGACGGCCCCCTTGGCCACGTTGACTGCTCCTGTGAGCCCCACGGACACAGTGTCTTTGGTGCCCAGGACCACAGACTTCGTGGTGTCCACACCCCCCTGGACAGCTCCTTTGGCCACGTTCATGGCCCCCGTCACCCCACTGCAGATGGTATCCTTGGTGCCTCTGGCGATATTCTGGGTCGTGCTCAGTCCAGTTTGTATGGCCCCTTTGGCCACGTTCATAGAGCCCATGACCCCTGTGGACACCGCGTTTTGGGTGCCTGTCAGGACAGCTTTTGACGTGTCCAGGCCCCCTTGGACAGCTCCTTTGGCCACGTTCACGGCCCCAATGAGCCCAGTGGACACTGTGTCCTTGGTGCCCGACAGCACGGTCTTGGTGGTGTCAAGTCCAGTCTGGACTGCCCCCTTGGCCACGTTGACTGCTCCTGTGAGCCCCGTGGACACAGTGTCTTTGGTGCCCGTGAGGACAGCTTTTGTTGTGTCCAGGCCCCCCTGGACAGCTCCTTTGGCCACGTTCATGGCCCCAGTGACTCCATCATAAACGGTGTCCTTGGTGCCCGTCAGCACGGTCTTGGTGGTGTCCACGCCAGTCTGGACAGTTCCTTTGGCCACATTCACTGCCCCGGTGAGTCCAGATGTCACTGTATTTTTGGTGCCTGTGAGGACAGCTTTTGACGTGTCCAGGCCCCCCTGGACAGCTCCTTTGGCTACATTCACTGCCCCCATGAGCCCAGTGGACACTGTGTCCTTGGTGCCAGTCAGCACGGTCTTGCTGGTGTCCAGTCCAGTCTGGACGGCCCCCTTGGCCACGTTGACTGCTCCTGTGAGCCCCGTGGACACAGTGTCTTTGGTGCCCGTGAGGACAGCTTTTGTTGTGTCCAGGCCCCCCTGGACAGCTCCTTTGGCCACGTTCATGGCCCCAGTGACTCCACCATAAACGGTGTCCTTGGTGCCCGTCAGCACGGTCTTGGTGGTGTCCACGCCAGTCTGGACAGTTCCTTTGGCCACATTCACTGCCCCGGTGAGTCCAGATGTCACTGTATTTTTGGTGCCTGTGAGGACAGCTTTTGATGTGTCCAGGCCCCCCTGGACAGCTCCTTTGGCTACATTCACTGCCCCCATGAGCCCAGTGGACACTGTGTCCTTGGTGCCAGTCAGCACGGTCTTGCTGGTGTCCAGTCCAGTCTGGACGGCCCCCTTGGCCACGTTGACTGCTCCTGTGAGCCCCGTGGACACAGTGTCTTTGGTGCCCAGGACCACAGACTTCGTGGTGTCCACGCCCCCCTGGACAGCTCCTTTGGCCACATTCAGGGCCCCTGTCACCCCACTGCAGACAGTGTCCTTGGTGCCGGTCAGCACGGTCTTGGTGGTGTCCATGCCGGTCTGGACAGTTTCTTTGGCCACATTCACTGCCCCCATGAGCCCAGTGGACACTGTGTCCTTGGTGCCCGTCAGCACGGTCTTGCTGGTGTCCAGGCCCCCCTGGACTACCCCTTTGGCCACATTTACAGCCCCCGTCACCCCGCTACATAGAGTGTCCTTGGTGCCCGTTAGCACGGTCTTGGTGGTGTCCACACCAGTCTGGACGGTTCCTTTGGCCACATTCACTGCCCCCATGACCCCAGTGGACACTGTGTCCTTGGTGCCCGTCAGCACGGTCTTGCTGGTGTCCAGGCCCCCCTGGACTACCCCTTTGGCCACATTCACAGCCCCCGTTACCCCGCTACATAGAGTGTCCTTGGTGCCCGTCAGCACAGTCTTGGTGGTGTCCATGCCGGTCTGGACAGTTCCTTTGGCCACATTCACTGCCCCGGTGAGTCCAGATGTCACTGTATTTTTGGTGCCTGTCAGGACAGCTTTTGACGTGTCCAGGCCCCCCTGGACGGCTCCTTTGGCCATGTTCATGGCCCCAGTGATTCCACCACAAATGGTGTCCTTGGTGCCCATCAGCACGTTCTTGGTGGTGTCCACACCAGTCTGGACGGTTCCTTTGGCCACATTCACTGCCCCCATGACCCCAGTGGACACTGTGTCCTTGGTGCCCGTCAGCACGGTCTTGCTGGTGTCCATGCCGGTCTGGACAGTTCCTTTGGCCACATTCACTGCCCCGGTGAGTCCAGATGTCACTGTATTTTTGGTGCCTGTGAGGACAGCTTTTGACGTGTCCAGGCCCCCCTGGACAGCTCCTTTGGCCACATTCACTGCCCCCATGAGCCCAGTGGACACTGTGTCCTTGGTGCCAGTCAGCACGGTCTTGCTGGTGTCCAGTCCAGTCTGGACGGCCCCCTTGGCCACGTTGACTGCTCCTGTGAGCCCCGCGGACACAGTGTCTTTGGTGCCCAGGACCACAGACTTCGTGGTATCCACGCCCCCCTGGACAGCTCCTTTGGCCACGTTCACGACACTGGTCACCCCACTGCAGACGGTGTCCTTGGTGCCTGTGGCGATATTCTGGGTCGTGCTCAGTCCAGTTTGTATGGCCCCTTTGGCCACATTCATAGAGCCCATGACCCCTGTGGACACTGCGTTTTTGGTGCCTGTCAGGACAGCTTTTGACGTGTCCAGGCCCCCTTGGACAGCTCCTTTGGCCACGTTCATGGCCCCTGTCACCCCACTGCAGACAGTGTCCTTGGTGTCGGTCAGCACGTTCTTGCTGGTGTCCATGCCGGTCTGGACAGTTCCTTTGGCCACATTCACTGCTCCGGTGAGTCCAGATGTCACTGTATTTTTGGTGCCTGTGAGGACAGCTTTTGACGTGTCCAGGCCCCCTTGGACAGCTCCTTTGGCCACGTTCATGGCCCCTGTCACCCCGCTACATACAGTGTCCTTGGTGCCCATCAGCACGTTCTTGGTGGTGTCCATGCCGGTCTGGACAGTTCCTTTGGCCACATTCACTGCCCCAGTGAGCCCACTGGTCACTGTGTCCTTGGTGCCAATGACCACGGCCTTTGAAGTGTCCAGGCCTCCCTGGACAGCCCCTTTGGCCATGTCTACTGCCCCCATGACCCCGCTGGCGAGCACCTCTTTGGTGCCCGTGAGTGCTGACTGTGTGGTGTCCAGGCCTCCCTGGACCACGCCCTTAGCTGCATCCATCACACTGGCCACTCCAGAGGAGATGGCCCCCTTGGTTCTGGTCATCTGGGAGCATGCCAGGGCTTTGGCCTCTGACATCAGCTGAAAAGAAAGAACACAAGTGGTCAGCAGAGTGGGGGTGCTGCACCCCAGAGCTCACCGTCCTCCCTTGGCAGCAGGCCCTGCTCCCTGGAAACACTGCCCCATCCCACCGGACACACCGTCCCTTTGTCAGCCATGTTGGCCCCGGCGTCCCAGGGCAGGCTCGTGAGCCGGTGTCACAGTGCGCCCAAAGTTCTTTTCCAGTTATTCCCAACGCCCCATTCAATAGAGTCCCCACTGGTGGCTCTCGCATACTCGCCAGGGTCCCAGGCCTCAGGCTCAGCCATGTCACGAAGGTCCCTGTGCTGTGGTCACCTGTTGTATTCTCTGGCAGATTTCAAGCCTGGCTTCCCAGCAGCAGTGGAGAAGGCAGATTGGTTTGGGGGGTTTTGTTTGTTTGTGTTTTTGGTATCAGGGATTGAACTCAGGGGCTCTCAACCACTGAGCCCCATCCCCAGTCCTTTTGGCATTTTAGAGACAGGGTCTCACTGAGTTGCTTAGTGCCTCGCTTTTGCTGAAGCTGCCTTTGGACTCCCAATCCTCCTACCTCAGCCTCCTGAGCTGCTGGGATGACAGGTGTGTGCCACTGCACCTAGCCCCAGCATGCGCTTTTTAATTCAACAGGTCTCAACTGGGGAGGTCCTGCCTTCTGGGACACTTGTGGTGTCATGACTCGGGTGTGCTGGCCTGGCGGGGATAGAGGCCAGGGATCCTGCTCAGCACCCTGCAAGGCCAAGACGGCTGCACTGCCGGGAAGGAGCTGGCCCCGGTTTCCATGGTTACTAGGCTTGAGAAGCTGACATTCTCTTCTCCACACTTGGCTCTGCCCACGGTTAGCTCAGGTGCCCACCTTGGCTCTGAAACAGCTGGGTTTGAGTTAGCTCTCTCCTGTACTCGAGATGTGACCTGAGACAAGCCACAGTCCTTCTCTGAGCCTGAAAAATGGTGATTACAATGGCATCTCCTTCAGGAAAGGTGAAGGTGAATCAGGGCACCTTAACCCTTGGAACACAGTAGGTGCTCAATTGATGCAGAGGGGTGTGGCCTCTGCTGCTGAGTGTATGTTTTGTTTGTTTTTGCTGCCAGAGAATGAGCCCAGGGCCACTTACCACTGAGCCACATCCCCAGCCCCTTTCATATTTAGAGACAAGGCCTCCCTGAGTTGCTGAGGCCGGCTCTGAACTCGTGATCCTCCTGCCTCAACCTCCCAAGCCCCTGGGATTACAGGTGTGGCCCCCATGCCCGGCTGCCAGGTGTGTTTGGACTGGGGCTCAAGAGCCTTCAGGGGTGAGCCCAGCACTTCTTGGCCCTCCGAGGTCCCCGGATCTGGCAGATGAAAGCTCTAGACTGGGGACCTGTGCTGGGGAGATTGGTGCCAGGGCTTTGCTGTCCTGCTGTGACTTTCAGCTTGGCCAGGCCTCAGGGACTCTGATACCACAGTGGACCCCCTTTCTAGGATGATGGTGAGGTGGCATGGGTTATTGAGCTTGTGACTGCCAAAGGTCCAGACCACGGCCTGCCACACCCTGTTGTGTGACCTGTGGGTGGCTCGGCACCTCTGTGCTGCCTTCCCTGAGGGGCGGTGGAGGACTCAGCCTGGTGAGCACAGAGCATGGTGCTGTTTGGCTGCATGCCGGGTGGAGCCCGTGCCCGTTCTGCAGGCGTGGAAACAGCCCAGAGGGGAGGGGTCCATGCGGATCCCCCAGCAGGACCCGCAGGGGCGTGCCTGCCTCCTCCCCGTCCTAGGTGGCAGGAATGGGACACCCAGAAGAGGCCCCAAGGCTTCAGCCCGCCCGCCCCTCTCACCTTTTCTGGAGGCTGCGGCAGTCCCTCTGTACCCCTGGGCACCTGTGCTGGCTCCGTGGCCACTGCGGGGACAGAAGCTGTCAGGGAGGGTGTGGGACACCGTTGGGATCAGCTGCCCTGGAGCCTGTTGCATAATTTCCCAGCACAGCCCAAAAGGTCAGGGGTGTCCCAGCCATCCGGCCAGGGACAGCAGGAGGTGACATCGAGGGTCCAGCCAGGCTCAGGCACTGACCCCTGCAGGGTCTCCCTGCCCCCCTGCAGTGCACTGCCCTGGAGCAGGACTCGGTGGGGTCCTCAGCTGGCCCCAGCCCAGCCCCTGGCCCACACAGCCCTGGCCGCCCCTGCCCCGCCCCTGGCAGCTGCCAGCTGCCTGTTGGCCAAGGTATGTGAGGCACAAGTCAGCTGCCCGGGGCCCTGGGCCCAGAGCGAGGCCCAGCCCTGGTGGCCGCCCCAGCCCTGGGTTCCCTCAGCAGCTGCTCTGCGTGTCCTGGGCCTGCCCGGAGTGTCCCAGCTGACTCTTGGGACAAGGAGACCCAGGCTGTGTGGCCCCAGGGAAGCTGCTGCCCTCTCTGGGAGCCAGGATCACAGTCCTCCAGGAGCTCAGATGGGCAGAGCCCCCGGCCTTTCCCACAGGACACCAGCAGCGGGGTGGGAGCCCAGAGCATGGGGCCTGCGAGAGCATGCTGTCCGCACGCCGTCTGTGCCCCCACGGCCAGCTCGCTTCCCGTCCTCACGCCTGTCAGGCTGCCTGTGGGGTCTGGGACGCAGCAGTGCCTTTGGGGGCTCCCTCTGTCTGGGCCCACTCAGGCCCCCACCCCACCACCGTCCACTCACCCTGAGCCTGAGGCTGGGTGGCCTCAGGGGCAGGGGCGCCTGTAGTGCTGGCTGCTGGCCGGCTCTGTCTGCCGGAGCCCTGGGCGCTGGCCACCAGGTTGCGGGCGGAACTGAAGCCAGGCAGGGACCCGAAGAAGCTGCTCAGGGTCTGCGGGGTGGGGCAGCGTGAGCTCGGCCCGGGGACCCCCAGCCCCACCCCGCCTTTGCTCCAGTGACCTTGGACATCTGCGCAGTAGCTGGCAGACACAGCCTGCCCCTTGGACAGAGAGGACTTGGCCACCAGAATGCCAAGGCCACTGCTTGCTGCTGCCCTTGCACAGACGGGGAAACTGAGGCCGGTGGGGCGGGGCTCACCTGGGTCACGCCATGGGGAAGGCATTGGAGGCTGTGACACCCTCAGGCTTCTCCAGCCCTCCCGCCCCACGGGGGTCTTGCCAGGAGCCGAGGACACCTTGGAGGCTGGAGTCCCCAGGCCAGGCAGGATGTGCCCCCCCTTACCTTGCCCTTGGACTTGGGGGGGTCCTGTCTCCCTTCCTCTGCAGCAGACATGGTGATGGTCTCCACAGCTAGAAGGGACAGAGAAGGAGCGGGAACAGGGTCCTCGTGGCCCTGCTGAGTGGTCCGGCAGCTCCTGCGCCCACCTGCAAGCCCGGGTCTTGGCGCAGGAGGCGGCCGACCTAAGTGCGCGAGGCTCCCACGGGGTGACAGGCTGCAGCTGGCAGCTGCCTGAGCTCCCTGTTCCCAGGCCTTATAGGGTCTGGGGCGGGTGCTGCCCGGCCAGCAGAGGCAGGCGGCCAGTGGGACTGGGGGGGCAGTCACATGCCTGCCTGTGGGCCTGGCGTGGGCTCAGGGCCCAGCACCTTTCCCCTGCTCTCAGCACAGGCTGGTGACTGTGCCCATGGCCCCTGCCTGCACCAGGCCAAGTGCCTCAGGGGCCACTGGGCTCCCCTCCCAGGCCCCAGGGAACCCCTGCCTGCCCTCTGCCTCCATTTCCACCCACCAGATGGACACAGCTCAGGTCCTGCCCCCCGGGACACCTTGGCTAGCTACCATCTTGGTGCCTCGGCTTTCCCCACCCCCGGCGCCCCACTGTGCCCGCAGGTGGCCTCCCTGCCTTGCCCTCCCCCCGCCTCGCTCCCCTGCTCCAGCCACACAGGCGCCTTGCCATGAACATGGCACACCAGGTGCGGCCCTGCCCCAGGGCCCTTGCACAGCTATGCCCTCTGCTGGCGCACCTTCCCCAGACACCCACTCGGCTGCCTCCATCCCTCCCCTCTGCCAGGCCTGTTTTGTCTCCCATCGAGTGCCAGCACCTAGAACAGTGCCTGGCACACGTTTGACACTTGGGAAACTTTGGGGCCCATCAGGCTGGTGCTGAGCAGGAAGCAAGGTCACACCTGTGACCTCTCCGCCCCAGTGCTGGCACCCCATGAGCAGAGCACTCGCTTAGCAAGAGCAGGGGTGTCCTGACAAGGGAAGGGACATGTCCCTTTCTAGAAAGAACTTGGGTCAAAATACAGACCAAGATGGAGCAGAGCAGAGCTGGAGGTGCTCTAGAAGCTGGCTGGGCCTCCTTGGAGGCTCCCAGGAGGAGGTGTCGTGGGCCAGAGGCCACAGGTCCAGGAAGTGACAGAGAGGATTTGGACATCTCGGGTCCCACGCCAAGTGGGCTACGGGTGGACCAAGGGGGCCAGCAAAGCAGAGCGCTAACACTCGCCCTCCCTGGGCGTCCCCTGCCCACTGCTGGGACCCCGCCAGAACGGGATCCCAGCCCCAGCGCATCCAATCCGCTCCGGCCCGAGCTGGGAGGAGGCAGGGTCTGGCCTCTTGGCCTGGTGGCCCCAGGCCGTCTCCTTGGAATCAGCACTGTGTCTGCCAAGCAGTCGGGACACAGAGGGGTGCCCCACTCCCTCCCTCCTCTGGAGGCTTGTGCTTCCAAGGGTGGCAGGAGGGCCCCAGACGTGCCCTTCCCTTTCCCAAAGGCAGCCTCCGCCAAGTGGGCGAGAGAAAGCCAGTAAAAACGATGATGGACACCCCTGTGAAGTCCCCCTCCTCTGCCCACAGCCCCCGAGGTCTTGCCCAGAGTACTGGGTCCCCTCCCTGGCTCCTCTCCCCACCCTCCTCCATGGGGGCTCCCTGCTGCTCCTCCAACTCGTCAGGCTTGGTCCAGTCCCAGGGCCTCTGCACAGGCTCTGGCTCCACCCAGGCCACCTTTTCCCCAACCCCTTATCTCCATGCCACCTCCTCAGAGCAGCCTCCCTAAGCTTCCCCAACTTAAAATATTCACCCTTTTGTACCGCCCCCCACCCCTCCCCTTTCATTTTTCCCATCTATTAACACTAAAATCACTTGTTTTCCTCCTCATTATCTGTCTCCCATACTGCACTGTAAACTCCCAGAGGACATAATACTGTGTCCCCAGGGCAGAGAAGTGCCTGCACACAGCAGGCACTCAATAAGTGCTTGTTGAAGGAACCAGCAAGCGAGAGCATGGCAGTGTCCACACTGGGTCTTTACTGGGGTGGGCACAGCTGCCACCTCTTTGCTCCCAGCTCCCCGAGAAGAGGCTCGGGGCAGGGTAGCCTTGACCACTCTCTCCCCTCTCCTCTGCCCACCCACTAAAAGTGACTCCCCGTCACGCCTCTGCCAGGGCTGGTGCCGGTACCAGAATGCCCTTCCCCGGCACCCCTGGGCACCCCTCACCAGGCCTGGCCCTGCAGCATGGCAGCCTGGTGTGGGAGGGGCCGTGGCCCAGGGCAGGGCAGGAGTCCTGGCCTCTCCTAGCTGGCTGGGGGCAGAGGAGGCCTGCCAGTGGGTGCAGCCTGCAAGGCTTCCTGGAAGAACACCACCTGGGGCTGGATGGTGGGCGACATATGTCCTGGAGTCAGGCAGGAGGTTGGCAGGGCACCCGGGAGGTGGGCACAGCTTCCCCAAAGGCCCGGAGGTGGGCACAGACCAGTGTCAGAGGGTGAAGCTGGATGGTGGGTCTGAGAGCCACAGGGAGCATGGAGATTCCAGAGCAGAGGCCGGAGGCAAACTGGCTGGCGGGAGGGGGCCGGGCTCCCAGAGCCATCCTCGGGACAGGCACCAAGGAAGCCAGGGGGCAGCCTGATCTCACCAAGCCACATGGTGGTTTCCCAACACCCTTCCAGCCACGGGAATCAGAGGGGCAGCCAAGAATGGGGTCAGGAGATGGGAGGGCCCCCAAGATTGGCTGTGGCCTTGCCCTGCCTGTCTCCCCCACCCCACCAGTGCAGCAGGGGACACAACCATGCCAGCCCAGCAGGTCGGGGGAGCAGAAGAGGGGCCTCCTCATCCACTTCCTTCTCTTAGGTCTTTCTCCCTGCAGTCTCCAAGAAATTCATTTATACTAAGGTGAGAAGGGCTTCCCCTTAGGCTGTTCACCGAGGGCCCAGCTGGCTCAGGCAGCAGGCTCCACACACAGGGAGGCACCACTCCTCTGTGGCCTCAAATGCTGACTTGAGGCCACCCTCCTCGTGTCCTGCAGTCACATTCTTCTGAGGCCCCCATACCCTGGTTCTGAGGCCCATCCACCAGGTACAGAGGCCCTGGACCCTTGGACAACGCGAAGCGTCTTTATTCTGGAGAGAACACGACAAAGCACCTGGGTCTGGTGGGCTGAGCGGGCCCAGCTGGCATCTCTGGAGACCCCTCAGTGTGAGATGGCCAGTCTGGAGGACAGGGGCTCCCTTCCAAAGCCTTAAGGACACCACTGGGCAGAACGTGTCCTTCCCAGAGGATTCTGAGCAGCCCTGGGGGCTGGGGCAGGACAGGGCGGTAAAGAGCTGAGGATGGCCTGAGAGGCTTTGCGGCCACGCCCCTGCCTAGGCCGCGCGATCCCCAGGGTCCCCGCAGGCTGTGGGAGGACCGGACCTGAAGGAAGGTGCCGGTCAAAGGTCCCAGCCACGCCCAGGCCGGGCAAGGCCGTTGGCGAGGGCGCTGGCCACCAGGGGGCAGCAGAGGGCCGGCCCCGCCCTGGGCTAGAAGTCCAGCTCCGGCATCAGCGTGTGCTCGACCTGGCGCCGGGGGGCCTCGGGCTCCTCCACGCCGGCGCCCCCGGGGAGGCCCGTCCCGTCGCCGTGCTCGGCCTGCCAGGCTCTCTGCTGGGCTGGCCAGTCCATGTGCGCCCAGCGCGGGTCGGGGTCGCCCACCACCTCGTCCACCCAGTCCTCCAGGCCAAGCAGGGGCTCGGACCGCTCCATGAGGATGGGCGCGAAGGGCCCCACGAGCCAGGGCAGCGGCACCGTCTGCACCACCAGCTCCAGCAGCTCGTCCACGCAGGCGTGGGCCCTGGCCACGCGGCCCCGACCCTCGGCCAGCGCGGCCGCCGGCACGTCCCCAAAGGAGCGGGCGTCGGCGAAGGCGGCCTGCAGGGCGTCCACGCTGCGCCGCACCTCCGCCACCTTCGCCTGGGCGCCGGCGGGCAGGCCCCGCACGCTGGCCTCGAGCGCCTCCACCGTGCTCCGCAGCTCCAGGGTCAGGCTGCGCGACAGCACCAGGGTCTCCAGCTCCGCCTGCGGAGGGCGGGACCTCAGGGGCCTGGCCACGCCCCGGCTGGGGTCTCTCTGGCCCTCAGTGGACCTGGAGTGGGGCTGGGGACTTCAGTCTCCGCCGTGCAGACACAGGGCTACTGAAACCCCGCTCGGCCTCAGTTTCTCTCTGGGACACACAGTAGGGCCGCTGCCCTGTCTAGGTTCTCCCCAGGGTCCCCCAACCAGCTGACCTCAACCTTGGTTTAGGCAGCTCAAGACTGGCTCCTGGCCGCCCTCGATCGTTCCAGAAACCCACGTTCCCTGCAGCCTCACCTGCCCCCCACCTGTCCCCCATCAGCCCCTCCCCCCTCCTCACCTGGCTGCGCCTGCGCCCATTCTCCAGGGGACGCTGGTCCTCCCACTGCGCTGTCGCCTTCCCAGACTGGGCTGCAGGGGAGGGGCCGGCCCTGCTCTGCGATCGGTGGATCTGCAGGGATGGAGGCCGGCCGGGACTGAAGGATCTGGGTTGGGGGCTTGAGGACCAGCTCCAGCCTGGACTGGCCTCAGTGAGCACTTAGTGAGCACCATCTGGATGCCACCTTCCAGAACTGAGGATCTGGCAGGCCAGCCTGGCCCCCCCCCACCTCACTGCCCCTCAGGACCCACCCTCCCCGCAGCTCCACAGCTGCCCGGCTCTTGGACACACTGGCCCGTGCTCCCCTCCCGTGCTCCTGCCTGGCCACCCCCAGTCTCCGTCTAGAAGACACCCTCCCCAGGACTCCGCTCCTGCCCTCGGGCTGGCCGACCCCTGGGGTTCCAAGCACACGTCATGGCCTGAGGCGGGGCACTATGCTTTCAGCGTCAGGGACAGGGCCTGCCCAGAGGGCTGCTGGGGACCAACGTCCCCCAGAGGTGCAGCCGCACACCTGCGCAGGGGCAGGACAGGTCCACCCCAGCGCTGCCAAGGAAAGTAGGTGGAAGCAAACACGGTCCCAGTGCCACTGGAAGTCACCGGCCTTTTTTTCCGCAGGGCGGAGACCCCAGGGATTGAACCCGGGGCACTCGGCCACTGAGCCACGTCCCCAGCCCTTTTTAGTTTTTAATTAGAGACAAGGCCTCGCTGAGAGGCTTTGACCTCTCAGCCTCCTGCCTCAGCCTCCTGAGCCGCTGGGATGACAGGCGTGGCCACCGCGCCCGGCTCAAGCAGCCCATAAAAGAAGGAAATCCCACACCTGTCACATGGGGAAGGCACCTTGAGGACGCTGTGCTGAGGGAAAGGGCCAGACGCCGGGGTCCACCCACAGGACAGGAGTGAAGCGCGGGCCTTCAGAGCCACAGACAGGATGCAGCATGTGGACGGGGGCAGGGAGGGGGCGGGAGCTGGCGCTTCATGGGGACAGAGCTCTGGGGTGGGTGGTGGGGACGCTGCACGGCCCTGTGCATGGGCTTCCGGCTGCCGAGCTGCTGTTCAGTGTGGTTCAAGGGGCAAGTCTCCTCGCCTGCTTTGGAGCCACAGCGGGCAGCACGGCCACGGGCAGGGCCGCTTCCCACGGTGGGCAAGCTACGCGGGTGGCGGCACGCGGCACACAGCTGACTTCCCGATGTGTATTCAGGAAGCCTCAACTATGTGCTGCTGCCAGGGATGGGCCAGCCAGTGTTGCAGCAAGGCCCGGCCCACAGCTGGTGCTCAGTAAACACCACTGAGCGGTTGAGCAGGGCAGGTCCCTGTCCTCACAAGCTCTCAGTCTGGAGGGGAGATGTCAAAACCCAGTAAGTGAAGAGGCAGGTCACATGGTTACCCAGAAGCAAGGTGTGACTAGGCAGGAACTGAAGTGCCCCAGGCAGAGGGCGCAGCTTGTGCAAAGGCCCTGGAGCCGGAGGAGCCTGCCCTGTGGGCTGGAGCAGAGGAGGCAGGAGGGAACTGGGATTGCACAAGGCTTCGTGGGCCGCAGGGAGGACTGGGACCTGGATCCCAAAGGAGGTGGGAGCTATGGAGGGCTGGGGGCAGAGGAGGGAGGGACCTGACACGGTGCTCACAGGTGCCCTCTGGGGGTCACTGTGGGGAGGACAGGCTGTGCGTCAGGGGAGGGGCTCAGGAGCCAGGCGGGTCCAGATGGAGCTGGAGCCTTGGAAGGTGGGGGACCAAAAGCCAGTGGCCCGGTGAGCCAGTCCCGGACAGTCTGGCTGATGTGTTGGACCCCGGAGGGGAAGAGGGAGCCGGGGGTCCCCCCAAGTGGGGTCCTGAGCCCCTGAGGTGGAGGAGCAGGTATCTCTAGGGAGGGGAGGAGGAGGCCGTGTCACGAGGGCCGGGCGGGGAGGGCAGGCCCCTTCCTCCCCAGCTGCCCTGGGAAGTCCAGCCCAGCACTCATCCTCGGGGCCTTGGCAGCCCGTGCTGGGGCCCAGCTACCAGCCTCTCGGATGCGCCCGGCTCAGCCCACACCCGCTGGGGGCACTGCGGACAGGAGCAGGGGGAGGGCGCTCACCAGCTCCAGGGCCTCCTGCAGCTGGGCCAGGGTGTCCTGGGCACGGAGTCGGCTCTGCCTCAGTTTCCCCAGGGAGTGCTCATAGGCCAGGTGGCGGATCTTCGCTGACAGAGAGCCCAGGCGCACGAAGTAGCCCTGCTGCCTCCTCTGGTCCTCCACGGAGCCCACCTCTGGGCTCTGGGCCTCAGCTGCCAGCGCCGCTAGAAGACAGGACAGGGACAGGGTCAGCGTGGCTCCTCCCCAAGCCAGCATCTCTACTGTCAGCCCACGTCACAGAGGGGCACTGAGGCAGGAGGCAGGAGGCAGACCATCCCACCCAGGCCGCTGCCCCCCGACTAGCCCGACGCCTCTCCAGGGGCCGGTCCGCACCCAGGCTGCCCACTAGGCCTCGGCCTCTCTTCCCAGGGGCGCGGCCCGCGTACTCCACTGTGCTCAAAAGAGGACCTGAGAAGAATCGCCTCCAGGTATCCACGACCCCAGACAAGACAGGGAGCTCGGGGACAGTGGGGCTGGGGACCCTGTCCACAGGACGAGGGCTTGAGCCTGTGCCTGCTTCTCCAAGACAGGCCAGAGACCAGGAGCGGCGCGCCCCCTCTGCTCGCTGGGTGCTCGGGAGGGAGGACACGGCCACAGAGACGACCCTGGTCCTCGAGATGCCCCACTGGGGTCTGGGTGTCCTTCTGCAGAAGGACAGGCCGAGGGTCCACTGGAGGGGGCTGGGAGGGCAGGCCTGGGTTCGAGTTTCCTGCTGCCCCACTGTGTGTCCTGGGGCCAGTCCCGGACCTCTCTGACCTGGACCCTGCAGAGAGGCTCGCTGGGCAGGAAGGTCGGGGGGGTGCTGGGGAGGGTGCTGGCCTCACCGAGCTCCTCCTCCGACATGGGCAGGAAGTGGTCCACCAGCTCCTCGGACTTGCCCAGAACAGTGTCCAGGGCGTGGCTCACAGAGCGCTTCAGCTCCACACTCCAGCGGCGCCGCCAGGCCAGGTCCACCACGCCTGTGACACTACTAGCCACCGCATCCTTGGCCGAGGTCACCACCTGGTGGGAGGGGCCCACTGCAGGTGCTGCCCGTTTCTGGTCCTGTCCCCTGCCCAATTCCCTGGAGCTGGGACTCAGAGGCCTCAGACTCCTGACCCTGTGCCTCGCTTTCCCTCTATAAAATGGCCCCCCGGGTCCGTGGGCGGTCACCAGCACCCACGGGCGGCGTGTGAGTTGGTGCTGATCACTGACCATTTCATCTGGCTGCTCTTCTGGAACTGGGGTTGAACTCAGGGGCGCTCGACCACCAGCCCCTCCGCAGCCCTGTTGGTATTTTATTTAGAGACAGGTCTCACTGAGCTGCTCAGGGCCTCACTAAGTTGCTGAGGCTGGCTCCATCCTCCTGCCTCAGCCTCCTGAGCCGCTGGGACGACAGGCCTGCACCCCGGCACCTGCCGCGGGGTTTTCTGCTGGGGCCTGGAGGGAGCAGGAGTCGGACTGTGCTCCCGGGCGGCACCCGCCTCCTCCCACTCTGCTCTGGCCCAGCCCACGCCGCCCCGGGACCTGTGGTCTGGGTACCGCGTCTGAAGGTTGCTGGAGAAGGGGCAGCTTCTCCTCCAGTTTGTCCAGGCCCCTGCAGGCGAGGTCATTCACTGTGGCCACTGAGGGGAGGGGTGAGGAGAGAGGGATGCAGAGGGAGGGCAGCTAGAGAGGAGCCATGGGGGACAGACGGTGGGGGACACAGGAGCGGGGGAGAGACCGGAAGAGATGAAACTGAGAGGCCCAGCTGGGGGGACAGCTGGGCAGGCCCCCAGACGTCCAGAGAGCCCAGAGATGCCGGGTGGGCCTCAGGCCTGTGGGACAGGGACCTGGAGGAGGAGTTGGACCCTGGGGACCTGGGAGCCTCCCAGCCAGCTCCGTCTCCCAGGGAGGGTGCAGGAGGGCCACCAGGCAGGGCCCGCCTCCCTGGCCCTGGCTCTCCCCCTGCCCCGCCCCTCAGCCCCAAGGTGACTTCTCAGCGATGCCCAGCGGGCAGCCCAAGGCCATAGCAGGAGAGGAGCTGGGGACCCAGGCCAGGGCAGCCACTTCTGGCTCACATGGGGGGCGAGGGGTCTTTCTGCCCGTCACCAAGGTAGACCCCTGAGCTGGTGACAGGGGCCTTGGAGATGCGGGAGGTGGCGGCTGGGCCGAGGCTGTGGGGCTCAGGACAGGGGAGGAGAGGCCAGGGGACAGAGGTGGACAGACAGTGGCCGCCAGGCATGGGGGGAGGAGGGGAGGAGGACGGGAAGCAGGAGCTGGGGGGAGGGCCACAAGGCACCAGGTGAGGCCGAGGGAGGTCACGTGAAGGGACAGGCAGGCGGCACATCGGAGGCAGCAGGGTGGCGGACGGCCAAGGAGGGACCCCTGTAAGGGGACAGCCCAGGGCGCGTCCTGCGGAGGGACTCACGCTGAGGCTGCAGGCGGTCCAGCAGCGGCTGCGCGCGGCCCAGGGCCCGGCTGGTGAGGCCCCCCAGGCAGTGCTCGGCCAGGCGGCAGGCGGAGCCCAGCAGTGGGTGCCTGTCCTTGGCAGCGCTGTAGGCCCCCGAGATGGCTGTGCAGGTGGTCCGGACCAGGGGCAGTGCCGCCACCCGCTGCACCACGCTCTGTGGGAAGGGGTGCCGTCAGGGGTCCAGGGGACAGGGGCCCAGCCACCCCATAGCCCGCGTCCCCTCGCCGGGCCAGGCTGAGGGATGGGGTGGGAGTCAGGGAGAAGCCTGGCGGCCCCCTGCCGTGCCAGCCTTGGTTCTCAGGAGCACCCAGAGTGCCAAAGCTCTGGAGTCCTCTGTGTTCCTGGTGGGCACTGGCGGGCACGAGGACCCAGCCATCAGAGCACCGCCTCTGACACCTCGGCCCAGGTGCGGTTCTGGTGGGCTACTGCGGAGCTGTGTGAGCTCAGGCAAGTGACCTGCCTGCTCTGAGCCTCGGTTTCCCCATCTGTAAAGTGGGTTTCCAGGGCAGTGGTGGTGTTTGACCGTGAGCGAGGGACTGGCCAGCACCATATCCTGATGGCTGCATTACTGTTACTGTGGAGAGTGACAGTGGACACAGGCAGGAAGGGGCAGCAGGGATGCAGAGTGGCCACGGCCAGTGTCCTGGGAGATGGTCCCCTGCCAGGGCCTCCTCACAGCCTCTGGAACCAGCAGGCTGCACCAGCCTCTCTGTGGCTCTCAACGTGCCCAGAATTGGTTCTCCCAGTGAGGGCAGGGCTGGGACATCGGCCCGAAACTGCCCGGGAAGTACTGTCCCCCTTCCCTCCCTGAGCCCCTGCTCCACGGAGGGGGCAGCCCCTCACCTGCTGGTCCTGCTCACACAAGTTGGATTGGGGGGCCTGAGAGGCCTCATCCTCAGACATGGCTGCTGCGAACAGGGTCACCCTGGGGGCAGGACAGAGTGAGGGGACTCCTGCATGCCAGCCCTCCCAGCTCCTGCCCTCCCTAAACTCGCAGAGCTGGGGTCCTGTCCACCTGGGCTGAGACTTGGGCAACTGGCTTTCCCTCTCAGGGTCCATGGAGTGGGTGTCCTGCAGGGCACAGACAACGCATAAACCCACAGGTGCTCAGTGAACTGCCACTGGTGACAACCTGGGCTGGAGAGAGACAGACTTGGCCCTAGTCCTGCCATGACCTGCTGTGTGACCATGGGCAAGGTCCTTCACCTCTCTGAGCTGTTTCCTCTTCTGTAAAATGGGGGCGATCCCTACTGCCCCTGCCAGGGACAGACCCGCCCAAGCAGTCCCTACACACGCGGGCGGAGGTGCAGGTGGTAGCTGCAGGATCCGGATCCGCCCACAGTCCTTTGGCAGACGGGGACAGGGTGCCCGGGCTGCACGCAACAGGTCCCCACTGCGCCCAAGGTCACTCAGCTAGCAGGGTCACAGCTCGACCTCAAACTTCAGACTGGCCACTTGCGGCTCTTTCCCCTGTTGCCACCCCTGCGCCCTCTGAGCCCTGGTTCCCTCCCAACTGGGTCCTGAGCGTGGGCCAACTGGGCCAAGGGTCTCAGCCACCTGTTCTGGCCCATCGAACCCCTGCCACACCGCCGCACCCTCTCCAGCCACCGCCTGGGGGTCCCGAGCCTGGGGGACTCCGGGACGCAGGCCGCAGCACTCACCTGGTCGCTCGCAGCCTGGGACCTGAGCCAGGTGCCTCCGAGGACCCCAGTCCCGGCTCGGGTCTCAGGCCCCAGTCTCCGCCCCCGCCGGCTCCGCCCGCCTTATAGCTGCTCGGAGGCGGGGCCTCTTGGAACCGACCAATAGGCAGAGAGCACAGAGCACAGGGCAGGTCCATGGGCGGGGCTCCAGTCTACCCTCCTGGGCTCCTCCCGCTCGCCTAGCACTCTGAGGTTGCCATAGTAATCCAGGGACGCCAGATGCCTAAGGATTGGGCTACTGGCCTTGGCCAGACAGTGTCACCTGTCACCTTCACTGCTGTGCTGCAGGGACAATGGGGGGCGATTGCAGCCCTCCTCAATACCTTGCCAAGTGACAGGCAAGTCTCTGATGATTTTCTTTTTTAATATTTATTTTTTAGTTGTAGGTGGACACGATATCTTTATTTGTTTTTATGTGGTGCTGAGGATCGAACCCAGTGCCTCCCGTGTGCTAGGCAAGCGCTCCACCACTGAGCCCCAGCCCCAGGCCCTCCAAAGATTTTCTTTCTTCTTAATTTTGTTTGCACTGGGGATGGAACCCAGAGATGCTTTACTGCCCAGCCAGATCCCCGCCCTTTTAATTTTCTTATTTGAAACAAAGGCTTGTTAAGTTGCTGAGGTCCTCGCCAAGTAGCTGAGGCTGGCCTCAAATTTGTGATCTTCCTGCCTCTGCCTTGGAAGCTGGGATTACAGGTGTGTACCAGGGTGCTCTGCTCCTAATTAAATTTGCCATTTAACTAAGCTGGGAGCCAGCAGTCTGTCCCTGGGGTTCACATGTTTCCAAAGAGCAGACTGAGGCTCAAAAGCCTAGACCACTTGCCCCCATAGGACTGAAGTCCATAGGACTGAAGAATCTGATTTAAACCAGCTGTTAGACTTCAGGTCCCTGCTTTTCACTGGGGACATAGCCTTCCAAGGGGACTGTAAAGCCTGTGCCCCAACACTTCAGGATCCCCCAAATCTGACCCCAGCCCCCACATGCCCAACTCTGCATTGGCAGGGGCCCAGTATCTGAGCTCAGTCATGCCCCTCCGACCGGCCCCTCCAGTGCCTTCAGTGCCCCGTTGAGCTGGCCCTGGGCAGGCGTCCCCTCAAAAGATCCCATGCCAGCGTGAGGCATTGGAGACCTGGGCAATCTGGGACACAAGCTCTGGCAGGAATCCACCTGTAAAAGGACACCCAGCAATGGTCGGGGATTTATTGCCAGTTAAGGCCCCAGAGAGGGGAGGGAGAGCAGAAGCCATGGGGCCATCTGATCCCAACGGCCATTGGCTTGGGAGCTTCGTCTTGCACCCCAGGCTCTAGGTGACCGCCACCTCTTCCTCCATCCTGGGCATCAAGGGTGCAGAAACACAAGATTCATCCGATTCGGGCCAGCAGGTGTTTATTAAGTCCCTGGGGCGGTGCCAGGTCACGCCAGCACTCAGAGAGCCCCCAAACTGGGGAAGACAAAGCCAGATGTGGCCAGGACACAGCCAGAGGCAGGAACCAGGGGCTTGTGGGGAACCCGGGGACCAAGGGCGGTGGGAAATGGAGCATCAGCATTCCAGGGAGGGCAGGTGTGGGCTCAGGTCAGGAGGCTGGCAAGTGGGCCCGGGGCGGGCGCATGCACCAGTGGGAACCCTGGGGTCTCGGCCACCCCACCCCGGCCCCAGGCCTCACGGGGACCCTGACACCTCCAGCAGCATCCGTCCCCTCAGGGCGTCAGGCCCAGCACAGCGCGTGTCATTCTGGGAGAACATCCTGTGCTTGTTGGCCACAAGCCAGCGACAGAGGTCATCCAGGTTTTGGTCGCAGACCCAGGGGTTGCCCGAGATGTCAAAGCCGTCCTTCATGTCCCTGGAGGGCATTCCCAGGGATTCCCAGAGCCCTCTGGGCACGCTGGACAGCAGGTTGTTGGAGAGGTCCAGCATGTCCAGCTCCTTCAGGTTGTGGAAGGCGCCGGCAGCCACCGTGGTCAGCCTGTTGTCACTGAGGAAGAGGTAGCGCAGCGCCGGCTGCTTTGCCAGGAGTGTCTCTCCAAGGACCTGCAACCGGTTCTCCTCCAGGTGCAGCCGCTCCAAGCGCAGCGGGCCCCTCAGGAGGTCAGGTGGCAAGGTCTCCAGCTGGTTGTCCCCAAGGTCAAGGGTGCGCAGGGCCACGAGATTGGCCAGCAGCCCTGGGGGGAGCGTCTGGAGGCTGTTGGAGGACAGGTCCAGATGCTCCAGGGCTTTGAGGCCGAGTAGCCACGAGGCCTGCAGGGCCTTCAGCCGGTTAGCCTTCAGCACCAGGACGCGGAGCGCGGCAGAGGCCCGGAAGAGGCCGGGGGGCAGCTGGGTGAGGTGGTTGTGGGTGAGGTCCAGCACCTCCAGCCGCGGCACAGGAAGCAGCAGCTTGGCGGGCAGCTCCTGCAGCCGGTTGCTGGCCAGGTGTAACTCCCGGAGGCCAGCGGCGCCGCGCAGGGCGCTGGCCGGCAGCTGTGTCAGCGTGGAGAACTCCACCACTAGGTGGACCGTGTCAGCCGGGAGGGGCGCGGGGAACCGGGCAGGCGAGAGGCAGGAGACGGTGCTGCCCCCGGGGGACGGCAAGGTCACGCACGCTTTGGGGCTCGGCGTGACGCCCTGGGCCAGGGCCACCAACAGCAGTAGTAGGAACAGGGTTCTAGAAAGAGGGGGGTCAAGGCCGCCTGAGCTTAGGCCATCACAGAGGTGCTGGTGAGCAACAGCGGAAACGCCCCGCTAGCAACAACACCAGGACCCTCCTCCGCCTCCCGCCGCCTGGCCTGTGCCCTCGCCTTGCTCAACAGGGCTAGGGCGCTGCAATCACTTCCTCCTCCTCTCCTGGCCTCCTGCCTCGCCCCCACCCTAAAGCTGCCAGGAGGGGACCCCTGTTCCAGGGAGAATCCTCAGTCTGTGGCTTTGGGTTTCTGAGCTGACTCCTGCATCTGCCCTACCCCATCGCTGGCCCAGCCCTAATGGGCTATTAACTGTTCACAGTCCGACTTGCTAGTGTCTTCTGGTCCACCTTGTTTTCTGGGTCAGTTCTTGACTCCCTAGTTGTGTGTTCTGATGGCAGAGCCAGTGAACTCCTATTCAACCTTCAAAGCCCTGGATCCAATGCCCCTTTTCCATGAAGTCTTCCTACCCTTCCCTACAAGGCAGGAGTGCCCATTCTAGCCTCTTCCTCACTCTGTCTATTTGTGACCAAATAGGGTCAGGTTGTCTTTGTTCTGCACCTGAGAACAATTCAGGGCTCAGGTGCCAAGAGGGGATCCTGGACATGGAAGTGTGTCCTGCTGTGGGCAGGTCTGGGGTTGAATATTGGGTCAAGCGGGGGGTGGTTTCTACTTTGTACCATAACCCTGGGTGGCTTTGGGGGGCTTCTCCTGCTCCTCCAGGCTTGGCCCGATTAGCAGATATCGCCTGGACAGCCTCCGTCCACGGCCCCAGGTCTCTCCCCCTACTTGCCTGACCTGAGGCCCCTTGGGCTTCGCAGGTGTGTGCAGGTCTATGCCAGCCGCTCGGCCCTCTGCGGCTTTGGGGCTGGGACGGCTGCCTGGCTCTACACAGCCTGGCCTTGGGCCTGCTGGGGTGCACAGGGGACCTACCTCTGCATTTGCTGCCCACTCCAGGGGGACATGGTGGCTCTTCTCTGGTCGTCCTGGGTCTCTATGGCCTGGGGAAGTGGCATTATACCTGCTTGGACTGGGGCAGGGAACCCAGTCGCGTGGAAGGCCCCACCCATCCTGTTCCCGTTAGTGCCAGAACCAGAGCGGGCGGGCGGGGCGGGGAGATTGCAAAATTGCTTCCGCAGCGTCCGCCAGCCCTTCTCCCGTCTCTGGCTTCTAAACCCAGTTTTTCTCCCCCAACTTTCTGTTTTTGTGGCACCCAAGAGTCTCTCGAGCTGAGTCCCTCTTCCCCTAGCCCAGGATTCCAAGGGTCAGGACTGTGAGGTGCCACCTGGAGGGGCACCACCCTGGAGGGAGTACCTTGTCCTTTTTCTTTTTAAAACGAAGTGGGTTTTGTTGTGGTTTTGTTTTAATCAGGGAGGTCAGTAAGGAGTAGTGTCCAATAACAATGGCTGGGGAGGAGCCTGGCTCTGGTGCAAGGCCCCCGGGCTCTGCAGGAGGGTGCAGGTTGGAGCAGTCTGTCTGTCCATGGGCAGGGGTGGTCTGTGCCAACCTGCAGGCCTGTTCCTCTGTGGCTTCATGAATAGGAAGGACCGAAGGTCCACCTGTCTCTGCACAGCCTGGCGTCCAGGCCTGCCCAGGGTGGAGGGGCGGGGACATACCCCTGTCCTCACTGTCCCCGCCTGGAGCACACGCTGGCTCTTGGCCCCGGGTTCTGAATTACAGCTCAGCGCAACACGGCTCCGCCTGATGCGCTTAGACAGTGCCCAGCTTTCCCGGGGCTGGGCCTCCCACCCACGAAGCCAGACTCACCCTCCTCCCAGGGCTTTCTTCGCTATCTTGTTCCTCAGTGGAGACTGGCGTGCTGTGTGTGTGTGTGTGTGTGTGTGTGTGGTGCTGGGGAAGGAACCCAGGCCTCGAGCCTCGTTTCCACATCGATGCATCTGGGGGCTACACGTTTCCCTTGGAGAACTGCTTTGGCTGCGCTCCACGGGCTTGGCCAGGCAGGGCCGCTTCCAGCCTTAAAACCAAGTTCCAAACATTCAAGTATGACGTGCCAGTGCACCCGCCGTGCCTGGCATGGCCCTTTCTTCCAGCCCGGACTCTCGTGGGCTGAGTTCAGCTGTGAGGGTGACCAAGGAGTCTGTCTTAGTGGAACCCCTAGGCTCAGAGACGGATGCCCTGGCTCACGGTGGTAGCCCCGGTTGAAAGGCAGAGTAAAGAAACACTCAGGAATACACGGACCAGAATGACACGAAGACAGCAGAGGCCCAGACAGAGCCAGAGACTCAGAGCCAGACACCCCGCACAGAGTGACAGGCCCACAGAGCCACTGTCAGGAGCAGACCCACAAAGACAGACACACAGGGTCAATAGAGAGCAGCCGTGGAGGCTGCAGCGCGCTCTGCCCTGCTGG